CCGGTCCCGGACGCTCATTGCCGCGGAACTTAACTACGACACGCACGACAAGGAACTCCTGGCCATCTTCGACGCCTTTAAACAATGGCGGCATTACCTCGAAGGACCGGAGTTACCGGTCGATGGGGTCACCGACCACAAGAACCTGGAGTACTTTGCAACGACCAAGGTCCTCACTAGGCGCCAGGTCCGGTGGGCGGAGTACCTCTGCCATTTCAATATGGTCATCCGGTTCCGTCCCGGAAAACTCGGAGGAAAACCCGATGCTTTGACTAGATGATGGGACATCTACCCAAAAGAGGGGGATAAGCACTACACTCAGCTGAATCCTCACAATTTCCGTCCTATTTTCAGTCAAGATCAGCTTGGTGCGTCACTGAAGAGATCGTTCTTCGAGCCTCGGTGGTTCTGGATGTCGAACAGCTCCACTCCGAAATCAAGACTCACATCCACACCGACCCCGCCGGAGTTGCTGGCTTAAATGCCGCTGCTTCCGGTACATCCAAGCGCTGGTCTACAGACGATTCCGGTATGCTCCGGTACGACAATCGCATTTGGGTTCCGCAAGTCCCCAGAGATGAACCGGACACACTCCGGATACGTGTAATGCAGTATATGCATGACCACATCCTCGCCGGTCACTTCGGACAGAACAGAACCCTCGCTGCGGTACGACGCGAGTACAATTGGCCGGAACTTCGGTCATTTGTCCGGGATTATTGCAAGTCCTGTATCACCTGTTGGCGCAACAAGGCCCCCCGGCATAAGCCTTACGGCCTCCTTCGTCCCCTTCCTGTTCCTCTTCGTCCTTGGCATTCGATATCCATGGACCTCATTGAAAAACTTCCTCTTTCCGGCGATTATGATGCGATTCTGGTAATTGTTGACCAGTCATCCAAGCAAGTTATCCTCATACCTTGCGACGTCAACGTCACCTCTGAACGCCTCGCCAAACTCTTCCTTATTCATGTTTTCTCCAAGCACGGTGTCCCCGGTCATGTTACCTCCGACCGGGGCAAGGAATTTGTTTCCTCTTTCTTCCGGTCACTCGGCAAACTTCTCAACATGAAGATGCACTATACCCCCGGTTATCACCCTTTGGCAGACGGTCAAACCAAACACTTGAACCAGACCGTTGAGCAGTATATTCGGATTTTCTGCTCGTACCAGCAGGACAACTGGGATCAACTCCTTCCGCTATGCGAGTTTGCTCTCAATAACGCTTCAAACGCATCTACCGGAATTTCTCTGTTCTTCGCCAACAAAGGCTATAATCCGACCATCGCTATCAATCCGGAGATGGATGTTGCCAACACCTACGCCCGGGACTTTGTCGTCAACCTCCAAGACCTCCATGAATTCCTCTGGGAGTCGCTCAAGGGCGCCCAGGAGCGATACAAGGAGACCGGAGACAAAGTTCGTTCTCCGGACCCGGAGATCAAAGTCGGAGATCAAGTCTTTGTAACGGCCAAGTACCTCAGTACCACAAGGCCTACCCGGAAGTTCACGGAGACTTTCGTCGGTCCATACGAGGTCATCGGAAAGCCTTCCGCTGCATCGTATCAGGTCAAGCTCCCGAAGTCTCTTTCCCAAGTTCACCCCGTATTCCATGTCTCTCAACTCAAACTCCATCACCCTAATCCATTCCCCGGTCGCGAGGAGCCTCCTCCGGCTGCGGTCGAAATTGATGAAGAAGGCGATGAGCACTTCGAAATCAAACAAATTGTCGACTCCAAGTTGGACCGGAGGTTCAATAAACCCCTGTTCTACAAAGTCAAATGGCTTGGGTATGAAAATACGGATGAACAATACACCTGGGTTCGACCTGATGATCTTAACGCTGCGGAACACATCGAAAATCTCCATCGTCGCTATCCGAACAAGCCCGGACCCGAAAACTAGCTTCCGGTTCACTTCGGAGACTCTCCGGCAGACCGGAACATCGGAGACGGAAACGGACTTATACATTTTACAAGAAATCCAAGAAAACATACAACAATTCTATTTACATTTTCATTTTCATTCTCACAACTCCATTTCATCCCCTCCATCATTTCCATCCTCCTTATCTGCTTCCTTTTCAAGCTCCTCCCTCGCATCTCGGAGACAATCGCACTCGTGGTTCCCAAGAAGGTTCTCCAGAACCCTTACACGTCCGGTCATTTCAGCAAGCTGGTCGCGGAGTTCCCTCAACTCTGCCTGCGTCGACCGACGTTCCGGAGAGCCGCTCCGGAGCCGATAACGGTGACGAGACGGTCCTGGAACGCCTTCCATCCCTACGTCTGACGTCAAACCAGTCTCTGGCTGCTGACGCGGTGGTTGCGTCCTCGTCTTCTTCGCAGCGGTTCCCTTTCCGCCACTCCGAGATCGACCGGAACACTCTCCGGGATCGCGTTTCGCCCGCTTCGCCTTGGGATGCCCGGTGTTCAGCAAACAAGCAATCTGCTTGTTCGAGCAGCGTGCGCAGGTTGAAAATTTGCCGTTTTCATGCACGGGGTAGCAATGTTCGCCCCGCTTGGTGTAAGCCTTGCATGCTATGAAATGGTTAGCCTCCGGAATCAAAGATCATCGGGTTAGAATTCACTCACCTTCACCGACTGGTCTCCGGATGAGTGGGCGACTAACGGAGTTGGGGCGAGGAATCTCCATGACCTCGGAGTCGCTCCCCGCACGTTTTCGCTTCTCCGCCTTTTTCTCCGCCTTTTTCTTCCTCTGCTCCTCCTTCGTCAGCGCATCAAGACGCCGGTGTTCATCCGCAATTAACATTTCGACTCCATTGGCGAGATCCTCGCTCCGCAATGCGAGTCTGGCCCTGGGCTCCGCCTCTGTCTCCTGTGGCGTGGTCTCCGTGCCACCGACTTCTTCTCCTCCAGAGTTGTTCTTCTCTGGCCTGTCTCCATGTCCTCCACTCGAGTCCCCGGCAGCTCCAGTCAGGGTGTTGTTGGTTGCAGACATCGGGCGTGGTGCGCGGTGAGAGCCCGGGGTGGTGGTGGTTCGGAGTCAAGGAGCAAAGTCAACTTACGGAACCGAAGCACGTGATCAGTCACGGAACGTGACTCCCTGCGGAACTCAGCGAAAATTCAAACCTTGGCGGAAATTCAAGCGGATAGAATCCTCAAAAAAAAATCTTTTATTCATTTCGACATCATACCTCATCCTGTGCATCCACATGACAACCACAATCTGAAAATAGGATCCCTCCGGTACTCTGGTACGACATGTTCGTCTAGGGAGCCGAACACAAGAGGGGGATACTGTTATATCTGTGTGCACATATCATGGAAGCATTCCGGAATCGACGCCTAACACTCCGGAGTCTCCAGTAAAATGGGCAAGATGCGCTGACAGTGAATTGAGGCTAGCTAAGCTAAAGTATGGGCTAGCTTGAACACTAACACACCACACCTAAAACCTAACACACCACACCAATCCCCTTATGATTATAACACTGAGACTAGCGCGTCTTCCTAGTGAGTTCGGGTCCCGATGTGATGCGGACTGCGGTTCTGTGAACTGCCTGACCCGGGGTGGGTATAGTCAAGTAGTGTTTACAGAATTTAATTCGTCCTCTAGGGGGAAATTGCTCTGTCGCGGAGCTGCGTAGTTTAAGGTACGCTAATGCGCAATATATAATTTGTGGTGTGTGTGTGTGTGTGTGTGTACAGTTCTCTCCGTTTGGATTGAACACTTTGCCAGGTTCCTCGAAGATTTAGTTCTTCGTTGGGGGCTGGCCTTCCGAAGGTACCGCGGATGGATAGTTTTCTACACTTGCTCGAAGGGTACGCTCCGCAATGCGAATGCTGTTCCGTTCCGGAGTACTCGGGTTATCTGTTATGCTTTATCCACCCGTCTCGAACGTATCGGACGGCAGGTCTCTTCAGTACAGTGCAACACTATACGGACGGCTATAGCGATTCCCTTCGTAGCCTGGTTTCTCCGTTGGTGAACGCCTTGAAACGGAATCACTTCTGTTTCGAAGACTCGGGGGTGAAGTGTGCGAATTGAATGGGGGAAATGGTATGATCGCGTAGGATAGGCCTTCCGTGTACGATGGGGTGGGTTCCTCGCAAGGATATGCGTTCGAACTCCGAAAAGGAACAGTTGCACGAAGCCAAGTTAGGCGACTGGCCGTTTGGTGGTGTGCCGCGTTAATCTACTACCGTGCGCTTTCAACTCCGGATTGACTATATTTCCCCCGTATCGATTTATCGAAACGGAGGTGAGACGGACGGGGTTTCTTGACAAGCCCTGGCCTTTTAGGTGACCTTGGTTTGTCCTACTATTGGGCGGCACGACCCGTAGCGGAGTGTATTTAATTTAGTTTCCCACCCTGGTGTACTTCAGGGGGAGTAGCTTTAGGTATATGCAGTGGGAGGTAATAAGATGATCATTCCGTATCCTACAGCTGGCTTTTATATTGTACTCTGTCCGATACTCGCGCGCGTATTTATACCTTTAATTGGAAACGGACATTCCACCTTTTCAGTTCTGATTCGCCTCTGTGATCGCCCACGCGTTCCCGATTCCGAAGGGGTTAGAAATTGACTCGGAGCAGCCTCGTGTCGCCTCCGTTTCCCGTTTCAGTCACCCCGTTTCCCAAGAACAGCCTCAGTTCTCCGTTTAGTCGCCCCGTTTCCCATACCGCAACCACTCCGTCTCCGTTTGCTCCCCCATTTCCTTCTCCCTAGTACCGGCCAGGTGGTGGAATGGCAACACATGTGAGACAAATAAGAGAGCCTGTAATGTTTCCTCGCAAGGTCTCCGTTCGATTCGGGGTCTGGCCTTGATACACCATCAAGAAACTTTTGCCTCCGTTTCGTTTTTGAGTGAATGCGCGTCGAGTTTTTGAGTGAACACATTGAACGGCCAGGTAGCTCTTGCCAGAATCAATATTTTCCTCCTCGATGCTTGCTTGTGGGTTTCCGTTTGATTCGGAGTCTGTCCTATAATTGAAATCAGGTTCGTCTCGTCTTTTTGTCCGTTTGTCGAGTCCTAATCACGGCCAGGTGGCGGAATGGTAACGCGCGCGAGACAAATACACAGACTCCCATAATGTTTCCTCGCAAGGTCTCCGTTTGATTCGGGGTCTGGCCTTTTTATTCGGAGGCGCACTGTGTCATATTCTTGGATACGGAGTCGCCGTCGTGAGTATGATTTTCCTCCCGTTTGGCCGCGTTCAGAGCGCATCACAAAGTGACAGCTCACACCGAGTCGTAGTATGCGACTGCTGGTTTGATTCCCTAGTGCACTAGCGATGATTTATGGCCTCAACTATCCCAACAAACACTTCAATCTCTGAGCTAGCTCAACCGTTTGACCGAAACAAGTCTTTCCAAGGGATTGGAATGAACGGGTTGGGGTAAAAAGGGTTTTTACTAAGCGGACGTAGATTGCTATGTCGTCCTAGGTGAGGTGATAAAGTGTCTTCTGAAAACTTCCAGTTACGGACTATGCTGCGCCAGCTATTCTCTCCTCTATGACGATCCCAGATCAACAGATATTTGGGTGCCGACTTAGAACCTTGAATTTAAGCTCTTTTCCTTAACACTTGGGCTTATACTGGACCTAGAGGGTTCACTCAGGCTTCGTTAATCGGCCAATGAATCGACCAAGGAGTTCTACCAAAGTGCTGTGCTGGTCGTAGTCCGTTTTACGGGAGGCGTTTCCTAGTCACCCAATGCGTAGCCCTTGCGAAGTCCACCACGAAGTCAACAACAACTCTCAAATGTTCTCTTGGTGCGCTCGGTCCCGATTTATACGTGGAGGTCGTTGCCGCTCACAAGCTCCCAACGCGAATCTTTGCTTATTAGTTCACACAGTTACTTGTGGATCCAACAACACTGATTCAATTTCTATAGACTTTACAAACAAAGAAGATACTTTATCTCCGCTAGCTAGGCCTGAGCACACCCTTATCGTCGTAACAATGAGCGGGGCATGAACTGGTCTTTCAGCGGTATTTACATGTCCTTTTTATACCAGTTGAGAGAAAGAGATGAGGTAAAGTGAAATGAGTAAAAAGAGTCCAAAACTGGTCCGTGCAGCTCCCCTACGGCAAGCTAGCCGGCTCTATCGGGCGCTAGGCTTGCCAGACAGTCAGCTAGCTGATCATCTTGGGGGCCTAGGCTGGGTATATTGCCAATTCCGTACAGCTTTTACAGCTCCCGGCCTCTCTTGTATTTGCAAACGACTCGGAAATACCATTCCCGCCGTCGCATGCTCACCAATCCTCCGTCTCCGCACGGACTGAACATCTAGTCGTTCAGGCATTGTGCCATCTCTTCTGAAATGCATCTCTTTGATTTTGTTTGGTGCAGCTAGCTGCCTTCAAACGCGTCGCGTGGATCACCTGATCTATCACTCGGCATATTCTCATGCTGACAGTTTCTCCTCGCTGTCGCTATTGCCAGCTAGCCCGATAAACCCGAAGCTAGCACCAAGTTATTTATGGAACATGGCCCCTAGCTCAGTGCTATTCCGCTAGCTGCACACTAGCTATTCGTATGTCTCTCCTTTTTACGCTAGCTGGTAACTCTCGTTATCCTGTGCTCTCTGGAAGTCGTTTATTGGTGCGCTAGCCCACACTATGAGGTACTAGACCATAGTAATCCTCCTTAATGTGTATACTCCCCTAGTGTAACGCTTGTTCACGCGCCTAGCACTAAGTTTGTACTACGGTCAGCAGCCGGAGCTCACTCTGACCCTCCTTTATATCGCCAAACAGAGCCCCAATAGGAATATTGCACCTATTAGAAAGCTAGCTTGTTACAACTCGAAGCCTAGTATGCCTTGCATTTAACTAGCGCTAAAAATCGCAAAATGCAGCTAGATGTCGGTACATTGTTGTTGCGCCGTTTCACCGTCTTTGTGTGTTCAGACTTGGGCGGTGTCGGCGTCGGCATGCTGTAAGTGATTGTGTGGGCAAGGCGAAATGAATTTCAGAACATAACGCAAGCAGTAGATATGGTGAATCAGCTTGAGGATACCCGCTCCCGCATCCGGAAGGAGCTGACGTGACGCGCGGGTCGGGTGCGGAGGCGGAGGCGGTAGGGTGAAGAGGGGAAGTACCCGAGGTGGGAAAATGGAGTGTGGTTTATCGGCAGCGCGTCTTTGTTTAGGATGGTTTTCGAATGCGCGGATGTCGAGGCATACTAAAGTCGTTGGCGGACCCGTGCGAGAAGGTGTCCATCATCTTGGCCTTGTCTACACGACGGACAATTTGTTTTATCAATCAATTGAAGTCTTGAAGGGAAGTTGAACAGCTGGATGTTGTCTATGGTCACGGAACAATGTGGCCTTTTGAGGTAGGGACATTTGCTGCATTACGGAGGGTACGGAGGGTACTTGAAGGATAGCTCATTGGGCTGAGGGATGACCAGTCCGACATTGAAAAACAAGTTGACTTGATCATGGGCGGCTTTGAGCTTGAAATCGGAGGGTTGGATGTTGGAGCGACGGAAAGGTGGGAGGAGAGAAAAGAGGTCCATCAGCGAATTCAATTAGACTCGAACCAGTCACTATTGGGGGACCGGTGTAAGTTGATGACAGTCGATCAACACTACCGGTGAATAGCGACTGGAAGATAATCACCGGTTTTAGCACAGTCGGAAGTTGCCGGGATTTTTAAAAAACTTAGAGAAATTTCAACAATGCTCGTGAACCGACTTCCCCGTTGCAAAAGTTGTAAGAGACAGTCTTATAGAGAATCGAAATACAAGGCTCTCCATGTTCTCCGAATTCCCCAATTTTTAAAATTGAGTGCCCGCCGACGCCATCTTTGATTTGCGCACAGATTAGGGGTACGGACATGCCTTTCTCCCCTGTCGTCATTTTGGACCCCGAACGACTCAAAATCGCGGCGCAAACCCTCTGCGACGTCTTCGGCATCCCCTGCCTTCATCCGCATCAAGAGGAAACTGGCCAGAACATCTTGCGGGGCATCAGCACATTCCTGGATGTACCGACCGGTGGGGGCAAAACAATTGCCTTCTGGTACGCCCTGTTTTACCACTGGCAGCCTGGCAATACCATAGCCGCATGCCGGAAGATTGTCCTCGTCGTAGGGCCCCTGGTTGGGCTGCTCGAGGCCCAAGCAAAGACTTTAAATGCAAAAGGAATACCCGCCGCTGCAATCACATTGTAAGCCTGTTGGCTCACTGTTGGATCACGGACAATTAGCTAATCAGTTTACCCTTGTTCTCATCCACGTACTCGTGTCTGTACTCCCGTAGCTCGTCGTTCCTGAATCACACTGTGGTACTGTTGATTCCAGGTGTGATTGTCTTCTAGTGTTTCCTGCGCGGCCAGCAGGTTTCCACACATCAAACAGTGAGGACATTGAAGAATTGCTCCTGGTAGGTCTTCAAACTCAACCCAAGTCAAGAGCACCTAGCTGACACTTTGCTGGTCAGAACTTAGGCAACAACAAGTACCGTGTCGGACTTGTAGGCCCTGAAATGGTGCTCAGCACACGGTTCCACGAGAAGGTCCTAAAAAATGATCTATTCATGAAGAATCTCATTACTCTGGTAATCAACGAAGCGCACTGTATCTGCGAATGGGGAGGCGACGATTTCCGTCCAGATTATCGCAAAATTGTGGAGCTTGCTAGCCGCTTACCTAGCGGGACTCCCATTCTTGTCGCGACTGCGACAGCTCCTCGCGATGTCATCAGAGACATTTTGCGTTACCTCGACTTGCCGGCGGACATTACGCAGGTCCAGGTGTCGAACGCGAAGCTAAATGTGTCGCTGTCAGTCCGTATACTGCAACACGAGCCCGAATTGTATGCAGACCTTATCACCTTATACCCGGACGAATTCGAAAAGCCCGAGGATTTTCTGCAAACACTGATCTATGTGAACGGCCGCCAGGAAGCAGAGAAAATACAGGACTTCCTCAGGGACAACAAGCCGGAGGGTATTGACGCAAAGATCTTCGAGTTCTACCACAAGGATATTGCGGAGGAGCGCAAGACCGCCATTCAGAATGGGCTGAATGACGGCACCAAGCGTGCTGTGCCTACTACTGATGCCCTTGGCCTTGTAAGCCCTTGAACACCGTTTCCAGCCCAAAAACTAAGTCATTCCAGGGCATGACTTCCGAGCTATCATGCGAGTTTTGATGTGGATGAAGCCACGGACCTTCCTCGCCCTCATACAGAAAATTGGGCGCTGTGTGCGCGACCACACCAAGCGAGGGCACGCGGTGCTATATATCACGAAGGCGATGTACAGCCGATGCTGCATCGAGCTTGACATCTTGCGGCGCGACGAAGAAGAAGATTCTTCGGATTCTGATTTGGAACCCGAGCCGGCGCAAGAGGATGGGGCTCAGGCAGACAGGGATGCCGCAGCGGCTGCACAAGACATCTCAGATGACGAAGACGTTGCGCCTGCCCCTAAGTGGCGCCGAATGCTCAAGAAACTTGCGAAGCTGTCGCCATTAGAGAGACGGGACACAAGATATCTGCTTGAGTACATTGTCGCTGAAGAATGTCGGCACATCCCATGGGACAAATTCTTCGGAAATAAGTACAAGAGTAAGCCCGTCCTCTTGGGGTCAAAGGCCTTTACTGAAGAGTCGACAGAGAGCTTGGGACTGGCAGTTCTGGAGGGGCCCTGTTGCGACAATTGTGAACCAGAGAAATTTCAGGTCGAGAATATTGCGCTGGTTGGGGGCCAGAATCTAAGAACCGGCCGCAAAGAGAAGAGTTCCCCAGAATTGGAGACCGCAGTGCACGAGAGACTCAACGTGGTCCGGGACGAGATCGTGGCAGAGGTTTACCCCAATCAGCACGTTATCACCGGTCCTGTCGTCCTTGCCGACTCCGTTGTGGACACGCTCGCCAAGCGCGCTCGCTTAATCACTTCCGTCGACACCCTCCTACAACATGTTCGCTGGGGCCAAGCATCTAGATTTGGAGACCAGGTAGTAGACGAAATCAAGCAGGTCGCACTCCGTTTCCCGGACCATGCAAAAGCAGCGCAAGAGCAGGAGGCAGCTGAACGCACACAGAGGACTCTTGACGCGGCCACGGCAAAGGATCTGCGCCAGCGCATGGTCGCTGTTTTTGAAGGATGCTATGAGGCAGT